CCAAAAGTTATATATTCAATAATTTGACATGATTATACACACACCCACCTCTCCCTCAATCACCAACTTTCTCCATAACTAAATCATATAATACATATATATACACACACACACACGTATGCATTAAGGAACTTGCTTTAGTTTTATCTCTTTATGATAATTAAGTAGACTTAAGTTTCAAACATGTTATGGCTGTCGAGAAGAATCCAACCATTAAACTAATCTTAATTTTTGTTATTTTGTGATCAAATGACTCCAATTTACTTAATTAAAATATAAAAACGTATATATCGGATCTATATATATATATATATATATATATATGGACACCCAAAGAAGAACAGTAGGTAGAGTTTTTGAACATATGGGACACTAAGATCTTGTAGAGTTTAATCTCTTCAAACCACCCAACACTGAGCATTAACAAATTAATTAAATGATTAAATTGAATTAATTTTTTTATATAAAAAAAAAGTAATATAGTAGAAAAATAATCTCTAGAGACAAAAAAAAAAAATAGAAATAAAAAGAAGGAAATATCGCAACTTTAAGATTTCAATATTAATTATTACTTTAATGATGTAATTTCTTATAAAATCAGACCCATTAAACAATAGCAGTTTTGCATGTGTGGTGATCATAATAAAGTAATGCTTACATCACATCCATATTTACAATATTGATTATAATGATAATTACCATTGATTATCAAATAATCTACCTTAACATTAATATTAATTAGTACATACTCATAACTAATTCTTCATATATATATATATACATTTATGCATTGTTAGTTTTATTTTTAATAAAGAAAATAATCATGCATGCATGCAGCAGCATATGTTTATAACTTATTTATTAACTATTTCAAACTTGTATTTTGATTAAACAACAACTAATACAAATAGTATATAATTTTTTACTAAATTATTTGATGTTACATTTAATTAATAACGACACCTTATAGTATAAAATTGACTTAGACTTAGAAACATAATATTTAACTTAATTATTCGTTTATTACATGTAGTTATTTCAAGTGGTGAATACTTATAATGTTAACACATGCATACTTTACTAACATTAAAATAAATTTATTATTTGTTCATATCTCACACCAACACCTCTCGTCGATTCATTTTTATACTAAATGTTTAGGAACCAACATTTACTATTTGGTTAAAAATACATAATCATTGTAATCCAGACACTTAACTTTGAATCCAATGTTTTAATTATTAATTTCTTTGCATATTCGTTAAGTGGGTTATTAGAAAAAAAAAAAAAAAGTCTAAAAGGAAACTATATATATATATATATTATTATTATATAATTAAGATGAAATTAAATCTGTAAACGTGTGGACCCTGTGAATGGATGTACCCACTAACCGTTGACATTACAGCTCATTGCTTTAATTAAATTATAAATTTGCTTATTAGTAATTTATGACATTTATAAATGCTAGACTTTTATTTAAATAAATAAATAAATATATTGTGGAGATTATACTGGCACGTGGCATGCGTGTGATCCGCCTGTATAAATATTAATTAGGAGACCTCGAATTTCATGTTAGATAAGTAAAATATGGAATATGTTCGAGTAGTGGATAACAAAGTCTCAATATTCAAAGGAATCCAACTATGTAATAACAAATTAAATAATATAATCATACATTTTATATTCCATACATGTAACTAATCATTACATGTGTAAGTAATGTCTTACGGCAAAATAATTCTACTTTTAGAATAATAGAAAACTTAACATGAAGTTATCATTTCATTCAAAAATATTAATTATAAAATCTCTTCTATTGTCTTTGATTTTACATCTCAGAATGCATTGCTCTTATAGAGAAAAATGTGTTTTTACATTTCTTTTAACCCAAAATAATTTAGAACAAGACAACACTTGATTATGTTATTATATTTAAATAACATCTTATAATAATAAAAGAATTCCACGATTAACGATTCATATAAATTATTTAATGAAAAATATTTCGAATCAATCTAACAAAGTGGTTAATAAACTTGTTATATATATATATATATATATAAGTAACTATCATACCTTTATCTAATGAATTATATAGCTAAAAAAAAAAAGAGTTATAGTAACAATTGAAATGATTAATAGATATATATAAATTAATATATTATTTAGTATCTAAAAATTATAATTTAAAAAAGATAAAAATTCTATAATTATCATGAATAAAAATCAGAAATTGAACTCGTTATAAAATTATTTTTTGTAAAAAAAAAAATGTTATGTCGTTATTTAAACGTAAATTGAGATGTTATAATACTACTTTATAAAAATAATATATTCTTTAATTTTATGATAACGGCTTGTTGGAAATTATAATAATCTTTTTAACTAAATTATTTTGGCTTTACCCGGTATCAAATGTTTTATATGATGTAGTGAAATGATTTGATATTATGAATCCACCACGGTCCAAGTTCCTTGAACTCACTCATTTACTAAAAAAATACAAACACAATTTTATTAAGCACTTCCTATCTAATAATCTCTCTCCTTCTCATCTAAATGACATGTCAGCAACGGGAAGGTGGGGCCACGGTGGGGGATGAAGATGACACGTCAGCAACAGGAAACCAAATGGACCCACAACATCAGTCCCCTATTTGAATTTACAATGGAATTGAAAATCGGTGAGTGGCTATTACAACTTTCTGACTCATCATCTCATCTTATTACGGTGGGGATGAGCATGCCACGTACGCATATATACATACACATATCCACACACATACATTTGGATTTGGTATAGCGGTGTGGGTCCAGAAGTGGAGAAATTATGGGCCCTAAAAGTGAAATTGTGGGCCAAATTTTTCTTCTCTTGACAGGCCCATTTACTCACTCTTTTTTTTTTTTTTTTTTTTTTTTTATTTTATTTCCAACCAACGTCTTAGCTTTGAAAATTGATAACTACGTGATAGATATTAATTAGCTCATCTTTTTTATATATATATATAAAAAAAAAAAAAACAAAAAAAAAAAGAAAACAAATATATAAATTAGGTAATTCGATACTACATTTTTAGATGATAGAGAAGGACAGGATATAAGAGTCCAAAAAGTTGAAACATCCAAATTAATTTGAAGAAAACTAACAATTTAATTTGTTTAGTATTTCATTAAATTGATTAGATACCTAAAACCAAGAAGCTATTCAAATGCGGTTAGGTTTTGTAAAAAAAAAAAATGATGTTAACCCAAATATTATTGTACGGCGATGATAATCAAAATTAATTATATCATATATATAATTCGAAATGAATCGTATTAAAAATTTTTTTAATTATAAATACCCTTTTGTCCGGATGTTTTAATTTTAAATTTTTTATGCGGTAATTAAGCATAAAATGATTAGGAATGTAATTAAGCATCTATTTAATTGAATTAGGTTGATAAATAGTAGTGTTTGAAAGTAGTCTACATCTTGTTAATGTGATATCTCAACAATCTTGTTAAATTAATCAACTTAATTTACCAATTTGTGGACCAAACTTATTACTCAAATTATTTGACCTACTTATCTCATCAATCACTCCATTACGTATCTATATATATATGTATAATTCGCATGCGTCACCCACTTTTATATAATTTAATTGGTTGTTATGCACTGTACACTACCCATCATATCGAATTCACGACACTTTTTACTATTAAAATTGAACAGTCATCTTAATCACCCAGTGATTATGGAAAACAAAACAAGAAATTAAGGATCGTATTCATCGGATCCGTACATGGTACCCTTACCCTATTCACATTTCTCCCCACATGTTTATATATTTTCTGTATTTAGTTATTACATACCACGGACTTGTTTCTATTTAATGTTTGATTATATTGGGTAGTTGTTTTATTAATGAATTTATTTGAATGCTAAATGTGGCAGAACTTGGAAGTGTAAGCATCAGCCTGGTTTTTTATTTCTATTTGTTAGTTGACACGAGAGAACCAAACCCATGTTCTCAATTCAACATGTTTCGGCCACTAGGGACCATGCCCTTTTAATTTTCCACCCAAACCCAACTAAAAATATAAATATGTATTTGACCATAAGCAGAATCAAGTTCCAAATTGTTTATATGATGTAGTTCCAAAATATAATAAGAATTTTATACTACGGGGACAGTCAAGTGTCCCTTTGAAGCAAGGAGGATCCAAGCATCACGTAAAATTATTTGCTTCCACATTTACGCTAGTTACCCTAATGCACCTTTCAATTCCGAAAACGACATCACAATACCTCCAAAAAACGGAATATTAAAAAGTTCAAAACAAATCCACCATGCATTTCATTTTCAACACATCTTCTATCACTACCCAACTTTTACGACTTTCTCTAAACCATCTAATCTGTTTACCATATATGAAAACCTAAATCTTTATCCAAAATTATCCCTCATGTTTTCTAGCAAAGCTGTTGTTATCCCACGGCACAGGAAATCATCATATTACCAAGAGTGGTCAAACTTAATCCAAGGATTGGTTTGATTAGTTATCTTAACCACACCCGGTGGAAAAACAGGAGATTTTACCAATGATGATAAGACGGATAATTCCCCTTGCTTTTCCTGCAATTATGTAGCTAGAAATATGGATGGAGCCCCCTGTGACTATGAGCTATATGCCTGATGATGCCCATAGATATTGGATAACATGGATAGGCCTTATCATCCTACTCATCAAACATGCACCTCATTTTTTTTTTGTTAGTAGGATAAATTTTCTAAAAAGAAAATAAGATCATGTCAATTCAGGAGTCTCTAAGTTGGGTACAAGTTTGAAAATGATGGCAAGTTAAGAGTCAGAAGGAATCAATTCAGAAGTTAGGTTACTTTATTAAAATGATAAGCCTTTTGTCCTTCAAATATGTCATCCTTCTTCGTTTCAGCTTCAACATTCTCTTGGATAACTTACCGGACATGTTTCCAGAAATGGAAGTAGCAGATAACTATCCTGAAGTGACAACAAGTTGATTATGTCAGATAATTTTTCGGTTAAAGATTGGAATGCTACGTACTCAACAAGCCCCTTTAATGATGAACTAATCCAAAACTCTTGACCCTACCTCATCCACTGCTTCCTCAAATACAATCCACACACACTGTTTAAGGATCTTTGTGGATGAGAATTCTCAATTATCACAAACAATTTCTGGTAATGTTTGTGTGATAAAATAATATACATGGCATGACATCAGAACAATCTACTCTATCGAATATCTTCTACCGAGAGACATCATTGTGTGATAAAATAATAAAAACAAACTGTAACTGAAATACCTTCAGATGCTACTACAACAGCCATCTTTCTATGCTGCGCACCAAAATATTTGAGCCCAAATATTCGTTACACAAACCTGACCGAGCCCATGGTTATCTATTGCACTGCTTCCCAACCTAAAACAAGAGAATAATGTTTGGCTAATTTGCACAGCAATCCTAGCGCTCATAGTAGAATCCAGTTCCCATTAAAGCAACTTTTGCCATTTCTTTGCATGAACTATTCAACGCCTGTAGCAGAAGTGGGTTTTCCATCTTCTGCTTGTCAAACTGTCACAGTCGCAAGTTGCAAAAAGAGATAAAATGTGTCTATTAGATACCGAACTACCATTAAAATAAAATGTTCTAAGGGAATAACGTAACATAAAGTGGTTCAAGACCTAATCTCTTCTCATTAAAGTCCTATTCCATAGTTATTTACACAACTGAACCAATACCACTCATATTTCCAATTTCATAATTATGGTTCGTAATCTTACTTAACAAGGGAGAAACACTTATAATTCTTCAACTTCAATTCAATATAGAATTGACTTGAAATTAGAATATCATTTTCATTCAAATTTTATATCATTTGTATTCTCATTTCTAATAAATGGAATTAAAATTTGAATCAAACTCAAATTAACAGTTAAAACACCCAAAAGAAGACACTTATTTGAACTATTAGATAACCAAAATTCATTGCAAAATGGAAAAGAAAAATGGTAACTTAGAGAATTCAAATGGAATTGAAACAACAAATTTCAGATTTCACCAATTTTAATAAAATGCAAAATGTTTATTTCAATTCCACTTGAAATTATCTAGTTGGTCAATATTAATCATTAACAAAGGGATTTATCCCCTCATAGCTAAAGTAAACATAGCTTTCTAAACAGTTCCACAAAAGAAGTTGATTAGTTTTTATTCCCAAAAAGAAAAGAAGTTGATTAGCTCCAAACATAGGCCCAAAGTAAAAGCACAAAAAGACCTACAATCTTTCATTACCATTCCTTTCCACATAGATTTGGACAGCCTGAAACAAAACTTTGCTTTCTAGTATGTGTGCGTGAAGAATTTGGGGAAAAAATATTTACTTTACTTCACATTTTCTTTGGTATTATACAAGAATTCCTACGTACAAAAAAAGAAATTACTTTTATAGTAGAGATTCTAAATAATTACAATCATTATAAGAAAACTTAATGGCAAAACTATATAGAAAAAAAATATCACGGTTATTTAGGTAACAAAATATTTATGTCAACACTCTCCCTTAAATTGGTGCAAAAATATCACACATGTTCCACTTGCATATTAAATTCTGAAGAGTTTTGTTGCAAAGTCCTTTAATGAAGATATCTGTCATCTGATTGATCAAAAACACATGATATGAGCATAAAAAGCCATCAACCACTTTTTATTTTATGAAATGACGATTTATCTCAATATATTTCGTCTGATCATGTTGAACTAGATTTTGAACAATACTAATGGTTGCTTTATTGTTACAAAACAATGATAGATTTTCTTCTTTAAACAGTCTTAACTCCTTTATTAACTTTTGTAACCATAATAAACTCACATATCCCTTGGGCCACTGCTCTATATTCTGCTTCAGCACTAAAACGAACAACTACACTCTAGTTCTTTCTTTTTCCATGTAACCAAGTTGCATCCAACGAGTGTGCAGTAACTAGTAGTGGACCTTCTATCATCCAAAGATCCAGCCCAATCGGCATCTATAAATATTTCTATCTTAAAGTGGCCATTTTTAGAGAAAAGTAAATATTTTCCTGATGTTAATTTCAGATATTGTAATATTCATAAAATAGCATGTAAAAGAGTCTCGTAAGGATCATGCATGTACTGACTCACCATGCTAACTGCATATGTTATATCTGGTCTGATATGTGAGTGATAAATGAGTCTTTCAACTAATCTTTGATTTTTTTCTATGTCCACTTATGTATTTTTACCTGTTTGTAGTTTGTAATTACTTTTAGTAGAAGAATTTATTGACTTGCAATCCATTATACCAGTCTCTTCTAACAAGTTTAGAATATATTTTCTCTGAAAAATGAAGATTCCTTTATTAAATATGACAACATCAATTTTTATGAAGTACTGCAATTTTCCTACATCTTTGATTTCAATTCTCAAGTAAGGAGTTTCTTTAATCGCGCTATCTCCTTTATATTATCTTCAGTCACCATAATATCATTTATATAAACAATGAAAAGAGTTATCCTACTACCCTCACAATGTTTGATTGAATAGGGTATGATCAACATTGCTTTGTTGATATCTGAAATAGATTATAACTTTTCTGAACCTTTCAAACCATGCTCTTGGAGACTGTTTCAATCTATATAAGACCTTCTTTAATTTGCAAAGTTTTGTTTGTGTTTTTTCATCTTCTAATTCTTGTGAAATTTTCATGTATACCTGTTCCTCTAAGTTCCTATGGAGGAAGGTATTTTTGACATCAAATTTGTGTAAATTCCAATCAAGGTTAGCAGCATAGGATAGTAATATTTTGATTGTGTTCACCTTTGCAACTAGTGTATAGATCTTCTGATAGTCAACTATATAGGACTGAGTAAACCTTTTAACCACTAGTTTAGCTTGTACCGTTCAATCGATTCATTTGCTTTGTGTTTTACAGTGAATACCCACTTACAACCAACCATCTTCTTTTCTTGTGGAGGTGAAACACCTATATTTCATTTTTTACAAATGCTTTCATTTCTTCAATCATTGCTTCCTTCCATTTGGAATTTTCAAGAGTTTCTCTCTAATATTGTGGAATATACACAGAAGAAATAGACAAGCCAAAAACTTTATAGGAGGGAGATAGAGAGTCATAGGAAATAAAGTTAGATATAGAATATTTAGTGCAAGTTTTAATTTCTTTTCTAAGAGCAATGAATTTATCAAATAAATTACAAGGTGAAGATGACTCACCAGTATCTTCAGGAACTGAAGAAAATTCTTAACTTGAGAGAAATTTTCTATCTTATCTCTCATTGAATACTTCTTCAAGTTCAGTTATCTAGGTGTCCCGTATTTTTTTTTTATAAATAAGATTTTCTGGTAGACATCACCTCTTTCGTCTCACTCTTCCCCTAAAGAGATGTTGGGTTAGAGCCGAAGTATGATGCAAATTCTCTAAAAGTAACCATAGTCACAAAATATTTTCTATACAGTAGATGATAATACTTATACCATTTTTAAGTAGGAAAATACTCAATAAATATGCATATGAGATCTCTAGGTTCCACCTTTTTCACATTTCTAGCATGAACAAAGTAAACACATCCAAACATTTTTGGGGAAACAATATATGAATTTTTAACTTACAAAACTTTTAAAAGACTTCTAAAATCGGAGAATCTTAAAAGTATTCTATTAATAAGATAGGTAGGTAAGAGAACTGCATCTCCTTAATAACTTTTAGGTAGGTTCATAGTGAACATTAGTGACTGGGCTACCTCCATAATATGTCTGTTTTTCTTTTCAACAACTCCATTTTATTCACTGGTATAAACACAACTTGTCTTGTGAATTATTTCATTTAACTCCAAGTATGTACGAAACCAACTATCTAAATATTCTGTACCATTGTTAGTTCTCAAAACCTTAACTTTAGCATCAAACTTGTACATATCATGAAAATACATCACTTTTCGCTTTCAATAGGTAAATTCATGTTAATCGAGTAGAACAGTCAATAAAAATAACAAACAATTGATGACCAGATAAAGAAGTATTTTGAGTAGGTCCCAACACATCAGAGTAAATAGTCAAAAAAAGACTAGAACTTCTATTATTACTCAAATGATAAGAATTCTTTTTATATTTAGCAAATTCACATGCATCACAAAACAAAAAATTCATGAAAGTTCTCTTAAACAAATTATGATATAATTTTTTTAAAACAAAAAAAGAAAGGGTGCCCAATTGTCGGTGTCATTGTAGTATTTCCATATTCAATATTTTGTTTCCATTGGTGGCTTGATTTCCAATTAGGTTCAGACTTCTTTCCAAGATATAAATCATCCTACAGTCTATCAGTGTCAATCTTCTTCCCTATTCGAATATCCTGAAAGATACAATAATCAGAAAAAAATTTAATTTTACAATTTAACTCTCTAATAATGACACTAATATATAAAAGACTATCAGGAAAACTAGACACATGGAAAACTAAAAATAATATAATAATTAGAGTATAATTAATAGAACTTGTTCCAGACACAAGAGTGTATGACGCATCTACTATACGAACATTTTCTCCTTTAA